ATGTCTATTTCTCGCATTGCGATAACACAACGGTATATAGAGCTATAGAATTTTGAATGACGTAATCTTCCTACGAATATGGGCATGTGGAAGACCAAATTTGAAATTTGGAATTTGTTTTATTATCGATTTCATATTTTGTAAAACTTTAAAGAATTTTTTATTAACAAACTCAAGGATTTCAAAGCGAGCAATGGCAAACCTCTACGGGGGGAAAAGAACTTTTTATCTCTGCGGGCAGAACTGTGTATCGGAAATTCTAAAGATAGGCTCATTTTAAAATTTTTTTGAGACATTGCTACTAACTGGATTTTATAGTTTAAGTACAAAGAACATGATATTTAATAAATAAAGGTAACACGCAAAACGTTAAAAAACACCTCTTTGGGTGTAATTTAAAATCTGAAACATGTCATCAGATTTTTTTAAAAGTTTTTTTACGGATTCATTAAATTTTCTAGGGAGATTAGTTTTCTCTTTTTGGTTTATTTATTTATTTATTTATTTATTTTCATTAATAACATAATGCATAGGCTTATTATATCACTGATGATATGCGCGGCTTTTTCTCATTATTTGTACTTGGTTATACTTTCACATGCATCCAGAAAGACAGTGAAAAATATCCTATAATTTACTTCTTACTGTGAACTATCAACCGTGTAACTCTCTTGAACTATCAGTCATTTTGTCGGCGAATTAATAACCGTTTCACATTTTTCCATAAATTTTTAACTGTAATTTTTGCCAGTGAATAGGCCAGTGAATCGGCATACCCCACTTTTGGATGATTACATTTTGTGCGTATTTTTATTTATAGCCAAGATTCGCATATTCTGTATGAAATCCGATCCTGTTAGTAACGAAGCTAATTGAAGTGTAATGCATTCCTTCTAATTAATTGCAATTCTTGATTGGATTTTTTAATATATAATTAATTTAGTGAAATAAATAGTGATCCATGTTAATTGGTTTCTAATGATCATAAAACACAAACGAAGCGTTGCCTTTCAGTTGTGTTAAATCACTGCAAAATTTAAATGGAAGTATTCTGTTGTAAAATTATTTGCATTTGATATTTTTATAATTTTACAATATTTAAATATCTTTTCTTAAAACAGGATTTAGAAAATTTTTTATTTACTTTAATCTTCAGCTCTAATGCCAGCTTCATCCTTTTTCAAAAGCCTTTAATAGTAAAATTTTTATTCCCGAAGTCACTGTTTGAGACTTTTAGAATTTGTTTATTTCCTGTTATTTTGAACACATATCCTCGCGCAAGGGAGAGAATGAAAGAATCCACAAAAAAATTATTTCTCATTTTTTAAAATTAAAAGCTTAAGAGACACAATAATGTCCGCTCGGCGACGACAGAGACCAAAAAGCGGAGGCTATAAATTTCTGATCTCGCGCTACAAACACTCTGAAGAAGAAGAGAGGGGGAAAAAAAAAGAAGAGAAAAATAAATTCCTATGTATTATTCATAAAGTGAAGTGACACTGTGATTTGCATAAAACGTTGATAAAATATTCATAGAGGCGCTTTGAAAAAACCCCAAATTTTCAGCATGCCCTCGTATTCGACGTGGATATATTCAAATTAAAGAATGCGTTACATTGTTAATATAATTTTTTATCTTATTCTCATTATCTTCCTTATTAGTATCTCTACGTTCCGGAGAATATTCCGTTTGAAAATACCTGCTGATATTGGATTTAATTACTGACTGCTGGAGTATTCGTATTTTTGCTCTGCATCTGGGCTTTAGCACGTTTTTGAAGCACTCCTAAAGGTCCCTATTCTTTGACATTAATATGTCTTTGATCTGCGCTTAGGTGCGCTTAGATTTTCCGAGTTTTAATTATTTACTCCGTGTAGTTCTTTAATGAATTTTTTGTTGTTATTTTTAACATAGACATCTTTTCCGCGTATCTAAATCAAGTATAAATATAATTCTGTTTTCGACTGCGAATTATGCATTCATGCCGAGATTTATTATGTAAGGGAGACCGTAATTATTATTGAATAATACAAGTGATTTAAAGATTTTTGCGTCATATATTCTTCGGAACAGAATTCCCGTGTGTACTCAGGTACTGATATCATCTCTTTAGGAGTATTAATTACTGAAATTTTAATTTAATTTTTCTTTTTAATTTAATTAAAAGCTCAGCAGATTATTTAAATAATCTTTTAAATTATTGAAATGAATAATTTATTTGGTATGCTAGGTTTTTCTGCTAATATAATTTTGTTACGTGATATTTGAAATAAAATTTTAATTTGTAGAAGTAATTATTTTAAAATAAAATCCGCTTCTAAAGAATTATGAATTTCAGAAATTTTAGCAATGTAAACAAAAGCATAAAATGCATATAATTAAAAGTATATAATGATTTTTCCATGGATATTTAGTAATCGAGGGTTGGGAAAACTGATATAGGGTAAATATATAATTTCTTTCCCTGCTTAAGTAATATTTAGTTTAATTAGTAACTGTTCTAGTCAATTAATGATTTTATTATTTATACTGATAATCGAGAGTTTGGGAAAACTGATGTATAGTGAATACGTAATTCCTTTCCGTACATATGAAATATTTATTAACAAAAGTTCGTGATTATTTCTTGCAGTTACGATGCTTGATTTATATAAATAAGTGCTCAGGCGGAATTGGTTTTCTCTCATTAACAGTAGATTTATTATTTTAGTTTGCGATAGAGGAAATTTAAGATTAAAGAATTTTCATGGCAATCACGTATTAAGTATTTAGTATACAACTCGTATTCATGTTGCATGGATGTGGATGCAAAATTTCTTGTGAATTCATGAAATAGTTTTTGCTTAATACGTTGTGTTCACACTTCGAGAGAGTTTCGCCCATCAACTTTTGCTTATGCACTGAACCAAACCACTTCCTGATTTCAGATTTCAGCCACAGCTACGATTAAATAGTCTAAATTTAAAAAAAAGTCGCGATTTTCACATAACAAATAATAAAATAAATCTGCAAAATCATCAAAACGTTAACTGCTACTAAAAGAATGCATTGTGTAAGAAAATAGAATTACAAAATTATGAAGATGGAGCATAGGCCTAATGATAAATTAAAAGCTATAAATAAAGGTTATGCTATCTACTCCGTATAACTGCATTTTTACTAACGATATTTCTACCAATTCCGGATTACGTTTTCCTGAACCAAGGTAACTTAAAAATAAATAAATAAATAAAAATTTTTAAAGTGAACTGACATTTATAGTGAATCAACGCAAAATGCCAAAACGAAATTAATAGCCCTTCTGGGCAAATTGTACCTTTGGGCTAAAAATCTGAAAGCTTTCAGATTTTACATTGCGTTCAAACGGGCATTTTCTTAACGTTTTGTTTGTTACCATTATTTATTAAATATCAAGTTCTTTGCACTTAAACCATAAAATTCAGTTCAACAGCAGTATCGCAAAATAATTTTAAAATGAGCATATCTTTAGAATTTCCGATACATAGTCTCGCGCGCTGGAGATAAAAATTTTTTTTCTTCCGAACAGTGTTGCCATTGCTCGCTTAAAATGGTTCAGTTTGTTAATCAAAAATTTGTTTAAGTTCTACATAATATGAAAAACAAATTCCGAATTTGGTCTTCCAGATGGCCATATTCGGGTGGTAACGTGTGTTAATCAAAATTTGATGACTCTAGGTACCGTTCTTTTATCACAATGCGAAAAACATATACATTTATGCTGTTTCTTCATTATTTAATTTCTTTAAATACAATACAGGGCTCTAATATTTGGTGGTAACAATTTGAAAAGTGAACCGACTTTTACAGTGAATCAACGCAAAATGCCGAAACGAAATTAGTGTTCCAGGCAAATTGCCCCTTTGGACTAATAAAACCTGTTTTTTTTTTTTTTCGTACAGTGTTGCCATTGCTCGCTTTGAAATCATTGAGTTTGTTAATAAAAATTCTTTAAAGTTTTACAAAATGTAAAATAGATAACAAGACCAATTCGAAATTCGGGCGTCCAGGTGGCCATGTTCGGGTGGAGGATTACGTTAATTAAAATTTGATGCATCTAGCTACTGCTGTTTTTTACAGTGCGAGAAACATACGTACATTCATGCAGATTCTTCATTATTTAATTTCTTTAAATACAATAAAGGGCGATAATATTTTGTGACAACAATTTAAAAAGTGATTCGTCGTTTATAATGAAATGCCACAAAATGCCGTTCTGAGACTAATACACTTCCTGAGCTAGCGTTTTTTTGGGCTAAAAATATAACCTTTTAAATATAAATCTAAAATAAAATCAAGTTAAGGAAGATTTTTGTGGGCTTTGAAACTAGTTTCTGTGGAATCAATGCCTGGTGTTAGAAAAGAGAGTAGAATTAAAAAGTATTTTAGTTGAAATGCGCGTATTATGATAAATGAAACATTTCAATTAATTTTTTTTTTCTATTTCCATATAATGATATATTTACGGATTAAAAAATCCAAATTAAATTATTCCTATCACAATAAATCTAAAACATAATCAAACTTAAAATGATTCTGTAGTTTTTAAAATTAACTGAAATAAACCCATCTATTAGAATTTAAAATTATCTTTTCAATTAGAATTGTAATAATTGTATCGCTGATTTATATTTTAATGACCGGGTAAACAATCAGAGTTGGTAAAATGTTTCTCATCTGAAAAAGACAATGAAATTATCATTGATTTACAGAAAGTGTATTGAAAAGTTAAAAAATTTAAGGGCAAACTTCAACATATCTAACCAGCTCTGCATGTTAGTCTAATGAAACAAGTAAATGGGAAAAACATGACCTATTCGTTTAGGAAAAATGACATTGTCTCTAAAGTAGGACTCCTTTTATGGATTTACAATTAAACATGTGGCAATGATTAGCTTAATAAGTACTTATGTCGTTTACTAATGCAATGAAATACTGAAATATATCCATAGTGGTTTACTGTATCAAATTTTTATTTCAGTCGGTGTTGGCAGTGAGTAGCAATTTGTTGAAAGACAGTCATAGGCTTCCCTGGCACGATCTTTCTCGTGAACAGCAGCAAAAATCTGCTTCAGCTTTACTCAGAAGTCAGGAGAAAAGTGGTTGGTTGCTGGCCGAATCACACCATTCCAGATACAATCATCGGAGTGGCCAGCCTTATGTCTGTAAGTATAAACGGATAATTAAGAGTTTATTTACTTTCATTTCATGTAAAGAATATAAGAATAACAAAATTAATGCAATCCGTTAAAAATTCAAGAAGGGGAAGTTAATTTCTTATTCTAAAATATTGAATTTTGCTGGCAAAAATGATTCTTTTCACGTCACAAGTACTGGAAGATATTCTTCCTATGTTGTTTACGGCGAAATGACGCTAGAACACAAGGGAGGAGGGACACTAAAAATGTTTTTTTATTTATTTTTTTTTTATTTTTCAAGGAATTAAATTCTCTCCGAATGTTGTTGTGCTGTAATAACAGAACAACACATGCAAGAAATGACGCTAAAAACGGCTTTCACTTTGCAAATTACATCGATGGTATTATAGACATTCTTCCCTTGTGCTTTTGTGGAATATCAGTATATCCCACTAGCAGACTGAGAGCTGGATTAATATGTAAGGAAACAGGGTCATTCTTCCCTTGTTCTTTTAAAGCATAGTGGTCAGCACTTTCAGCTAACAGTGTGAAAACTCTTCCGGTCCATAACTGAGGTTTTAAGGTTTCCTGTTTCGTAAAACCTAATGACTTTACGGCAGTTATGTTTTGGTATCGTCACTCTTTCTTTAGTCATCTGTATGGTCTGAAAACTATCAGTTTTGCGAGTTATTGCCGTCGAATATTATTAGTAGCAAGCTAAGCTATTTTTATAAAAAGTTGCACATAATTTTTAAAAATATTTGAAATGTCTAGCGTTAGAATAGTTTATGAAACGTGTTTTCAAGGCAGTATGTGGTGCAGAATTTTTAACAGAAATCTAAAAGACTGAAAGATTTTTCGTTATTAATATCATGTTTATGATATAACCACGTATTAATGCTGATTGCGGTTTTTCAAATATAATAGCAAACAGGCTATAGAAGATATTTTACAAACATATATCATAAAAATGCATTCTGATTGATATATTTTAAGACTATATAAATCTTTTTACGCTTTTTATTTTTAATTCAATATTTATTTTTTATTCACTTAAAATTTTGTATATTATTCACTTATAATTTTATAATTCACTTCTAACTTTTTTCAAGTGGCCCAAATCATCAAAGTGAATTCACTTATTACTTCAGATACGTAAATGCTTAAAATTCAGTCTTATAAGTAAACAAAAATATTAGAAAAATAGTTTTATTTGGAATATTCTTATTTTAAGACTGAGTATGATACTGTCGAATAGAAGAAATGCTCTATCGTGTGTTGCCAATAGAAAAGCGAATCCTTTTCCTTTTAGTTTTGGAATAGAAAAAACTTTGCAGGAAGAAAATCTTACTGAGAGTATTTGTTTCAGTATCGAAATCCAAACGCTAATAGAAATGTATTTTCAATATGCGCATGGAAAAAATGTATAAATATTTTGTTAGAACATGTTTGTGAAACTGAAGATACAGGCTGGGAGGGGAAGAGAGCGGTGAAGATTTTTATTGGCAGAACATGATGTTATTTTAAGAATTTTTATTATCTGATTGCTGAATAAAAATAGAAGATGAAAACAACAAATAGTTGAATTTTATTTTGAACGGAAGGAAACTTTAGAATGATCTTCATACTGTTACTTTAGGTACACAAATTACATAAGAGTAGAATCTCGGTTACTCAAGATTCCGTATTGGTTTAGATAAAAATAGGAACATAATAGGAACATAATTTATTATTTTTATTAGATATCGTAACATTTTGTAAAGAAAATGAAATATTTGCTTTTACAAAAATGAAAAATATTTATTTTTAAAGCACTTGTAAAAGAGTTTTTTTTATTATTTTCATAAAAGTTTTCTGTCTGCCTTTTAAGAGTAAAAATTCTTAAAAGCAGACAGTAAACTTCCATACTACGTGTTTTTGAAGAGTACCTCAAAGTTATCGATCTCCTTAAACTGGAAGATATAATTGGAGGTAATTTGTCTTGGCTCTGATTTTGGGAAGCAGACTGAATTTTCGAAAAATACTTCTGAAATGTCGTTACATATTCTCACTAAATGTCGCTAATTCCTGAAATGTGTTACCTCAAAGTATTAACGCGTTACTTACAAGTTATAAACTACCTTTTATGTTGTATGTAATTGTATAGTTGTAATAGTATAGTATAAAGAAATAAAGCAAGTGCTTAATACTAACAAATACTGAAAGAAAAGGAATAAATAGAACAAGTACTGAATTCATATGAAGTATTTAAGTAATCACAGTAAGTCTAAAAATATATGTAAGTACTTGAGAGATGAAAATGTGTAATGTTACGTTAAAATTACTGTAAATAGCATTAAAAAAAAAGCTGTAAAACCTGTTACAAAAAGGTATGTTTTTAGTGCTACCTTTCTTATCGTGCTAAAAGATAGGACACAGAAAAGAAAATGAATCGGCAAGTGGGTTGGTTATAATCTACTTATCCACAAGTTACAGCTGTGAGATCTAACCTTCTTTGCTATCATACAGGTAGTGTGATCTGACTAGGAATTCTGGCGACAACTCACACTGGCGTGAATAATACCAGCACAGGTGAAGGGTAAAACAAAGACTTTATTATTCGTCAAACTCTTAACAAAAATGTTCGTACTTCGTGTTCACAATAACACCGACTACTTGCGGTAAGAATTTAAGAATAATTTAGCAGTAAATTTAAATGCTAAAGACTAACAGACTGAGCAACCTACACCTGCGATAGACTTTAACCAAACGGCCAGAGTTTAGTTAAAATTAGTTTTAACTAAACGTTTACTCTAAGTATCAGCAACTCAGAGTAACAGCAGAAAAGGGCAGCCTAGCAACGTGCATTAGTAGCGAAATCACGCTCTAATTAACGTTCTCTTTTTGCCCGTTTAAATACTTTTTACTTTATTTTGATCTGCATCCTGATGAGGAAATGCGAGAGGAAGGTGAGGAGTTCAGAAAAGATGGCAAAAATTAGAATAACTGGTAATTCAAACTAAGGGAAACCCTGTACAGCAGATGCTGAAAGTGGACATGTTAATATTTGTGCACTTAATGAACAGTTAGTTGGCTGATACTGTTTGCAGCTCTTGAATAGTTAGTTATGCTAATGATAATATTCGCAGCGCTTTCCTCAAGTTCGTCCAAAGTACATGAATTACCGCTTGAAATTTAATAACATAAAAATCGTATGAACTCCAGAAAACGTTCACTCCATAACGTTTAGCTCAGAGTCCTTCTATAAGCGATTTATGAACCCATGAAATGAGTCATGGTGCTTCGTCTTCTTAGGGAAAGCAGTGTATGTTTTTCTTGTGATGTTATTTGGTCGAAAAGTTAAATATAGATCAAAGATAGTCAACCTACTTCACATATAGATTTTTACAATGCTAGTTCGTTGCTCCAAGGAAAACATTATCTGTCTTACGTGATGTGCGAAGAAGGACTGAAAATGTAGGCAAAATAAAATTCAAATACATGGTGTAAAGCAACCTAGCTAGATAAACGGATAATCTGAAGATAATAAAGATTAATGGGCTGCGGCCCCTTCCAAAGAATGTGGTGTCAATATTGAAGGTAGGATAGTTTTTTGTTCCCAAATCCTTCAGTGTGAGAAAACATTCATATTAAAATATGCGTTTTTATTCTTAAGAGCTACCATTTTTTATTAGTTACAGAAAAAATAATACATTAGAAAAATAAGTAGTGTATTTTCCCCTTTTTTAATATACTTTAAAATCAGTAAAATGCATTAGACTTAAAAGTGGTTTTATTTCATGTATGTCTTTTATATTCGAAATGGCCAAGACCTTTGGTTTTATCCAAATTGTGAGCTATTCCAAATATCATGGGTCCATATTACTATAGTTATTTCTAAGTATCTGTGAAATTACCTTTTCCATATAATAAAACAACTAAGTATGGGCTCTGTATGACTGATAAATGAATAAAGTTAACGAGTAACACTTTACTGAATGCCATCAAGAGAACATGAACTCTTCATTTTAGTGAGGAAACTCATTAGAAAAATGTTCAACCAATTTTGTTCTTTTCCTTCATTTTCTAAGTTTTCATTATGTGGGAGAATACTTTTTTCGGCTATTGGCATTATACGCATGCGCTAGTCTATTGTTGACGGACGTTTCACACCGAGTTTGATGGATTTGCTCTCAGAGATTTCCATCGTCCTAGAGCCACCGGCAGACACATTGACGCGTGCGTCTCTCTCTCCTTTTTCTTTTCGTGTCTTTTATTTCGACCCTTGATTTACGACGTAAGGATGACAAGATTGATTTATCGACAGAGCGTTTTTGTTATTAGTTTTATGCAATGTTTCAATAGCTTTTATTGTTACCTTCCTAATTCCGAGATTTTCGACTGTAAAAGTATGAGGTGAGGAGACTCAATCTGCTTAATGGATTATCTCACCTTAAGTGTTCCATTTTAATCAGCGTTCACGATAAAGGGATGATAGTATGTATTTCTCTAAAAGTCTTCTCAGTCACTATTTTAAAAAATGAAAATCACAGTGAATTTCTTAAAACCACCAGTCATGTTTTCAAATTGTTTCGGTCTTAGAGATGGTTGCCACAGAGGACATACCTGTCGGCGAATTTCGATATTTCAGTTTAACTATATTTTCAAGAATGTTGATACAGCGTATATAGATATGTTTGTGTAAAGATATATTCAGTAAGTGTTCTTCAAGAAGAAGGTACCTTAAAGACGAAAGCTACTGACCAGTTTTCTCTCGAAATTCAGATAGTTTTTTAACAAACCAGTGTTAGTCTTAAAGGAATTATCTCACTCCCCTCATGCGCGCATTAGTAGTAGAAGTGGTTAGCATGTCCATCTAGCAGGTTAAAAGACCACGGTCCTTTGTATAAAGCAGATTAAAAGACCAATTCCTTTTGAAAGAACAGTTGATTTACCGCATTCCCTGGCTTTAAAGCATCTAAATGGTTTCTGCAGTGGTTGCCAAAAATGTGCTGAACGATAACTCCATAGTGCCTAGATTTGATCGACTGGATGTCGTGACTTTCATTACTTTCCGTAAGCGGAGAAGAATGTAAGGAATTATCACACCTCTCTGCGGACTCTCCCCAGTGCACGTTCCAGGCAGTAAATTGGTGAATCCCGGAGAATTCACATTTAATTTTTAATGTTTCTTTCCCCGAAGATCATAGTAGTCTTGACAAACACTGTGGTCTTTCCCAGGCTTCGAAATGCTAAAGGTCTCAACAGGTATCACTTTTTTTTTTTTTATCTTATTTTAAATGTTAAGCAAGGGTATTAAAAATAAGTATTTGGACAAGAATACTGAAAACAAGTAACTTTAAAGAATTAATTGTTAAACTCATATTTAAAAAATTACTAAGTTTAAATAGGTAATAAAAGTTCAGTACCTTATACGTAAATGAAATATAAAGAGAAAAATTTCCGCTCCCATATTACGTACTTTCCAACCGTAGCTCAAAGGTGCTGTAAACTGAAATATCTAATTGAAGGTCTTGGCTCTGATTTTGGGAAACAAACTGAATTTTCGAAGAAATGTTTGAAATGTGGTTAAATATTGTCACTAGATGTCGCTGTTTCATGAAACACTTTACTTCAAAACTTAAGGTATGTAGCCTAAGTTATGTAAGGTAAAAAGAAATAAAACAAGTTAACTATTACAATACTAGGAAAGTATTTAATACTAACAAGTACTGAACTTATATGAAGTAATGTAACTAGTCATAGTAATTGTAAAAATGTGGGTAGGTACATGACAGCTGAAAATGTGTAATGTTGAAGTAAAATGTTTTACTTCAATTGTGTCAAATAACCTGGTAAAATGTTTAAAATTTTAGTAATGGTATTGTTACTGTTATATCTCTCACACCCTCCACTGAGCATCTTTCCCAGATTAAGTAACAAAAGAAAAATTATTATAACCTGACAGGTGACTCATTCTAATTTCCTTGCACGTAACATCGTTTTATAAATTTTTATGTGTTATTTGCTACCAGAACTGCATATTATGCAGTTCATAAATGCTATAACATTCAGAAAATGTCTCTAAAAGGCTATAATTAAAGCAGCTAATGTGTATTATAGGAAATCATATTTTACATTATGATGACTTTCGTAAATCTGGTTTAAAGTTTACGATATAAGATTACCGTTTTTTCTGCTTTTACTAATTTTTAAGTATATTGAATTGCAGGCTTTATACTGTTTGACAATAGAAAAGAAAAACAAAATGTTTTTGTTGTTCTTTAAATTTGTTGTGTTGAATAATATTCATTCCTTTATAGTGGCAGCAGTGAATGTTGTGGAATCTTGGGACATATCAGATGTAGTATTACCACCTCCTCTTGATACCACGTGGTGGACGGTAGAGGATAGATTACTTGTACCAGCTCCAGCATTGGTGGCGACAGCAAAGCAAGGTAAGCATCTAGAGAAGACGCCTTATCTATAAATTCGTTTCAGTAATAAATAATAAACTCATTTCATTCCTTAGCTATTAAATTAAAATGTTTTATTTTGTAATTTTTATTTATTTCTCCATTTAATGTTGGCCTGATATTTGTTTTGGCCAGAAAAGGAAATTGCTTTTCTTATAAATTCATAAACACTGTAAGATATTTATTTATTTATTTAAATATTATTTCTCCATTTAATGTTGGCCTGAATTTTTTGGCCAGAAAAGGAAATTGCTTTTCTTATAAATTCATAAACACTGTAAGATATTTATTTATTTATTTAAATATTTATTTCTCCATTTAATGTTGGCCTGATATTTGTTTTGGCCAGAAAAGGAAATTGCTTTTCTTATAAATTCATAAACACTGTAAGATATTTATTTATTTATTTAAATATTTATTTCCTCCATTTAATGTTGGCCTGATAAACACTGTAAGATATTTATTTATTTATTTAAATATTTATTTCTCCATTTAATGTTGTGATATTTGTTTTGGCAGAAAAGGAAATTGCTTTTCTTATAAATTCATAAACACTGTAAGATATTTTATTATTTATTTAAATATTTATTTCTCCATTAATGTTGGCCTGATATTTGTTTTGGCCAGAAAAGGAAATGCTTTTCTTATAATCATAAACACTGTAAGATATTTATTTATTATATTTAAATATTTATTTCTCCATTTAATGTTGGCCTGATATTTGTTTTGGCCAGAAAAGGAAATTGCTTTTCTTATAAATTCATAAAACACTGTAAGATATTTATTTATTTATTTAAATATTTATTTCTCCATTTAAGTTGGGCCTGAATATTGTTTTGGCCAGAAAGGAAATTGCTTTTCTTATAAATTCATAAACACTGTAAGATATTTATTTATTTATTTAAATATTTATTTCTCCATTTAATGTTGGCCTGATATTTGTTTTGGCCAGAAAAGGAAATTGCTTTTCTTATAAATTCATAAAACACTGTAAGATATTATTTATTTATTTAAATATTTATTTTCTCCATTTAATGTTGGCCTGATATTTGGTTTTGGCCAGAAAGGAAATTGCTTTTCTTATAAATTCATAAACACTGTAAGATATTTATTTATTTATTTAAATATTTATTTCTCCATTTAATGTGGGCCTGATATTTGTTTTGGGCCAGAAAAGGAAATGCTTTTCTTATAAATTCATAAACACGTAAGATATTTATTTATTTATTAATATTTATTTCTCCATTTAATGTTGGCCTGATATTTGTTTGGCCAGAAAAGGAAATTGCTTTTCTTATAAATTCATAACACTGTAAAGATATTATTTATTTCTTTAAATATTTATTCTCCATTTAATGTTGGCCTGCATAACACTAAGATATTTATTATTATTAAATACACTGATATTTGTTTTGGCCCAAAAAGGAATTGCGTTCTTATAAATCATAAACTAAATATTTATTATTTATTTAATAATTTTTCTCCATTTAATGTTGGCCTGAAAACACTGTAAGATATTTATTATTTATTTAAATATTATTTCTCCATTTAATGTTGGCTATTGTGTGGCCCAGAAAAGGAAATTGGCTTTTTTAGAAATTAAACACTGTAAGATATTTATTTATTATTTAAATATTATTTCTCCATTTAGTGGCCTGATATTTGTTTTGGCCAGAAAAGGAATTGCTTTCTATAAATTCAAAACTGTAAGAATTATTTTTATTTTAAATATTTAGTTCTCCATTAATGTTGGCTGATAAACACTGTAATATTATTTATTTATTTAAATATTTATTTCTCCATTTAATGTTGGCCTGATATTTGTTTTGGCCAGAAAAGGAAATTGCTTTTCTTATAAATTCATAAACACTGTAAGATATAAAACGTCAGGTTTTTTATTAAAAGTTTTCAGGTTTATTCAATTTACATAACAGTTATTTTATGTTTGAAATCTTTACTGTCATTTCTCTGTTCCCGTTTTCCCGTCAGAATGAAATTAGCTCGCATGGATTTCAGTGAGAGCTTGAGACTGATTGTTAAGCCAGAGCGTGGTTTGCCATGTGAAGGCTCTGCGAAGTCTGCGTTACTAGGTTTGCTGTTCTAATAGCTCCTGTCTTCGGCATTGCTTCTTGGCGATAAATTCACATCGTTGAATTCCGAGCCAAATGAAATTGCTGTGTGTAATCTTTGGTTATAAGATATTCAAATTTAGCTTTACATCTGAATATCTACCTTTGAGTTATCGCCATATGTGCTGGCGGATTCGTATTCACCAGGGATGCCTTCTGTTAATCTATTTTAATTTAAAATAAAATGGTCTCTTACACCCTTGGAAAGATTCTGTACTTACTTTCTTAGACTAAGCAATAATTCGGTTAATATCTTGAAAAAGATTAGGTCACATATTACAATAGTGAAAGGCGTTAAACTGTATAAAGGAATGTATTTATTTTTGCATATCCTCCACAATTAAGTGACAATATAAATTCATTATTTTTCTTTTTCAATAAATAGTCAAATAATTTTTTATTTCTGTTTAAAAAAATGAGAGATGAAATTAGGAAGAAATTTTTTAAACACCATGATTTTTTTATTAGAAAATGGAATTTCATACTATTAATTAGAACATACAGATAAATATAGATACAAATAGATAAAATGTAATAATAATGACTTTTGTCTCTTTAATGTCTCTTTTAAGATATGGTCCTTAAAAGCATATCCAAATTCGTATTCTCCCAAAATTTAAGTAATCGTCTCTTCTGTAATTCAAATTGGGTAAAAAAAAAAAAAAATAATTGGGAATTCTTTTCTTGAGTTGCAAGCATTCGAGCATTTATAATACAATTTTTACTAACCGAAAATTCAAGTGCATTTATAACCAGTCAAGGAGTGCTCTCAAGACTACCCAGACAATTAGAGAAACGCATACCAGGCAAGATGAAAGATGAAGGAAATTAGTGAAAGAAGCCAGACCAGTCAAAACTATCTAAGTCAGTGGAGAAATGCAGACCAAAAATAAGCTGAAGATAGTTGCTCTTCCCCAATAACAACAACAAAACAAAACAAAAAAAAAAAAAAAAAAAAAAAGGAGAGAGAGAGATATATATATTTACAATCAGCCGTAAAAATTACGTAATATCAGTTATGCTTCTTTAATGCTCAAAAACGCTAAAAGTAACACAACGATTATGCTACACATTCTGCATAGCAAGACCTCCCCACCCCCTCGTATTTGGTTGGTTTCTGGGAAATTTGCCAAGTCCTTTTTCGATGCCCGTAATTGAGGAAAAGATCTTCGTTTCTGAGCCTCTCTCGTAAATATATTTACAGCTCTTTTGCTTATGGGTTCTCACGTTGTGTTTTGAAACCAAAAATATCCTTATAGTAATGGTCGTGAGCTCTTAAATAATTTTCGGTACTTAAGCAGCTTGTTGAAGTCGCACGTCGTAAAAGTACGTCCGTGTTTATTATGTTTGGAGAGGATTGAAATGTTGGTGTAGAATTCCATTAGACTTGCTTAAAAATGAGAAAAAAAATATACTAGAATTGTATATCTGTATTTGTTTGGGTGAGTGCCAGTAAGATTACATTGCTATCTCTCTTCTTTTTTATCCGATGGATCAGAGAAAGATATTTACTGTTACATGAAGAAAATGATAGGTTTCAGTTAACTGGGTTGCTATTAGTTCTTTTAACAGTTTCGTTCTCTTTAAAGTTTAAAATAAATACAGAAATGAAATTTTCTGCATCTAAATTTCAAATTTATTTACAGAGCGTTTATCCATCACTTGAAAATGAATACTTATTAAAATACTTTGTTAATTAATGATTATAAGGTTTTCCCGTGCATTTTAATAAATTGAGTTATATTTAGCATATACTAAAACTTTAACTACTGCATAGATCTGTTTTGGGGAAACTGTCATACTGATAGCTGTGATTTTGCATGGAAGTAAAAAAAAAGTGCATAATATAGTACACGTTTTTCAGTTCCATAATAGTATGTTTGTTACAGGATGTATCGTCATGTGTTCCTGTAGTATAGTGACAGTATATCAGTTAAGTAATCTATATACATGAATCAATTTCTGGCAAAAGCTTCCAGAATTACTGACCAGAACTCGTAATATATCTACAATACCTACTTATTCGCACTTAATTATACAATTTCGCTGGCAGAGTTTAGAAAAAAACAGAAGAAATTTTAGGCATTTTACATCAAACAAATTTATCGATATGTATTTCATATTAAGTAAATAATTGGAACACTGATACTAATATTGATAATAAATACCGATATAAGGAATACATACACATTTAACTGCTTTTGTAAGTAAATACTGATGTATATGAAATATACACTTTAAAATACACTCCATACTATTTTTAGTCAATAAATATTAATTGAATTATAAAGCGGGATTTTATCACTTTGTTTGCTTAAACAGCTATCCCCCCGAAAAAAGTTTTGTTAAATTTTAGCATTATGCCTTTAGTTTAGATATATTAGTGTTAAATAGTTCTTCTAGGATATGAGATTTTAAATGTTTCACTTAGAAAAAATATGAGAATGCTAGATGTAAAATTCCTTTTCACGAGATTTCTTTAATAATGATTAAACAGTGAATGACTGGAAATGTTAAATTTCATCAACAAATAACTCTATAGAATTATCTTGCATGTGCTAATAATAGCAACGTGTGTTCTCATAATTTCTCTTCTTTATATCTTTCCAGGGGTTTCTAGGCTTGTTCTTTTAGTGCATGCCCGTCTGGGAGACCTTCTTGGATCCGAAGTTCATTCCAGTCAAGCGTCACCAACAAATGCGAGCAGACTGGTCAATTCTCGAGTCATAGGCGCTTTGCTGGAAGGTCATCGCGTCCTTAGTCTTCCGAGACCAATCACAGTCACTTTCAAACACTTACAGGTAAGGAATATGACAATATTTTTTAAATTTTCTGTTTTGGCTTTTGGAGACAATTTTAATGACTACACACTGCTTATTGAAATGAAGCAGTATGTAGTCCGATTCTTAATTGTGGTAGTTTTCTTGAAAATTGGTTCTGAATAAATTACCGTAATATAATTGATGCAGTTGTCTTGATTTATTACGAAAAAAAGAAAAAAAAAATGTATGCGTTCGGAACTGTTTCCGTTATTCTAGCCGCACCTTATTAAGATATGCCTGATGCGCTTTTAGAAATTCAGGAATGGCTTTCAATGCAAATATTATAGTCAATAGTAAATATATGTCATTAATGAATTGTTATTTGTATATAGCGTTTATGAAGTGTATTGATTGGTCCGAGCCCACCAGCGGCTGAGCGGTAAAGACGCTGAACACTGGTAGTGCGGTCTGAGGTTCGAATCCCGCGAATGGACTGGCTGCATGGGCGTTTTCGTGGTTTTCCCCATGTGTAACGTGTATACGAGCCAGTTTCCATTAGAAAGTCTTCCACGAAGGCATCCCTCCTTTCAGGTAGATAGCCCGCTTGCGCTTTGCCATAATTGAGTAATGATTGGTCCCGAAACAGAACCTGAAAATTATTTCTTTTTAACTGATATAATTAATTTAAAAAGATGAATTTAAACTGTGGGAATAAGGAAGCAACATTTATTGAATAATATTTAAAAAAGCCATAACTGTTATTTACTGTAATGGGAATTTTACAGAGACTTATGAACCTAAAAAAATAAGGTATCAAACTTGCTTTTTATTAACTCTTCTCGTTCTTACTTTTGGTCTTCACTAACTACACAGAAGCCTAGATTAATTGCAGTAAATAGGTGATTGATAAAACTCAACTAAAAGGCTACGTCTTACAGCAGAACTAAAAATTGTGTTCCAGCCAATATGGATTCCAACTCTACACGGTAATAAATACAAAATTCATTCCACAAAAGATCGCTACACTACTGTCCCCAAACTACAGATTCGCTAGCTATTTACGCTCAAACCAAGCGAAGGCAGATGAAGAAATTCATAAATGATTTGAAAGTATTAGAAAGGAATTAACATAAAAATAAGGTGTTTGCTAAGACAAATGTTAAAAACTTAACAAGGGCTCAGAATTTTAATAATTTTGTTTACATGACATCATTTCTAGCTGTTTGCGATAAAACTGTGTCTGAGACAATTTTCTGTCGATATAAATCGGTTTTCATACATAATATTGCGAAATGTTGATTTAGAATTGGTTGAGAAACGCGTATCTGATTATGCAATACGTATATCCTATGTTAAACTACTGATCTTTGGAGTTTATTTGAAACATATATCAAGCGGAATTTTCAGATATATTCAGAAGAACTCGAAAGCTGTGAAACAGTGAAACGTTTTCTTTGAAATCCAATTCAAATTTCATTATTTATGAAACACGATGCCATCTAGTTCAGGCTCACAAATTTGTGAGTAAATATGCATTGCGACCGAATTCCGAAGCATTAATAGTGGGCAATGTAAAATTGCATGTATCAACCATAAATCGAAAACCTAATACCCTGCGTTTCCGAAAATTACATAGAAAAGGTTCGTCGAAAATTGGAAACGTTCATTTCTCTCCGTTGCTGAATTTATTTCCCCCGTCTCTCCCCGTTCAGAACAAGGGACATAATTTCACGGATATTGCAATTTGTATTGCCTTTGAATGATTGTAGATTTTAGCTTGCAGGAAAATTGCGTGCTGCAAATAATAAACAGTTAAGGTGTTACGTTAGAGATCAGGATATGCATGTAGTATTTGCTTTGGGACTGTCTACGAAATTCGGAGATAAGTACTTTTTATGTGTGGATGAAATTACATGCGTTGGTAGGTATAGATATTGGAATGCTGCTTTTTATGATGGCAAACTAAAAAAAAGAGAGAGAGAAGGAATATAAATTTATGAAGTAAAATAGCAATTACGTTCTAACAATAATTTACGCAAAGAAAATCACTTTTTGTTATCGTGATTAATGTTAAATATGTAATATGTATAGTACTTTAAGTTATTTATGCTAATGAATTAACAATACATAAAATATTCCGGAAAGCGATCTGAAATATTTTTTCAACACTCAGATGAATATAAGAGGATTTTTATTAGATTATTATTGCCGTAAGTTACTGTAGTCTTTAACTAAATCACAGCTATATCTAACTTAAGTCATCTGGTAACGGCACAAACTCTATGACCACGCAAATGGACTTCCCGATGTGAAACGCGAATACGAACCAGAATATGAATATATGATATATATATTCTTTTAGAGAGACCTTTACCGAAGGATTCCTATCATTAAACATACAACTCGTTTGTTTCACAGGATTAGTTTAGAGGATTTGAATCGAACTTTCTTCTTCTGCTTGAGTGAAAAGGACGAAGGAGAAGCATGTGCTGACGCGATAACAATAGACCAAAAAAATTGTGCTTAACCATTATTTATCAAAGGCAAATTATCTTGTAAAGGATTATTACATTCCCCAGTGTGGGATGTAAGTGGTTAACACATCAAACTAGCAATCGAAAGATCTGTGATTTGAATTCCAGGGAAGTTAACTGCAACATAACATAAATATAGTTAATTTCCCATGTGTCCTGCTCCGTAAAATCTAGTAGTCTGTGTTTTCAATCCATAGATAGAGTAATAAACTTTATTGAAGCGAAAAAAGTACCAACAAAGGAAACTAGCTAAAGTATTTATTAGTATCCGTAACACACGGAGAGCAATGTCTATAGTATTGCGGTATGAAGTTCCTCTGTTCCATACCTGCAATAATTAGAATGTTAATTGCAGTTCAAAGTAGGTATTTAAAACTAATTTTTGGATTTTATACAAACAAATCACTAATCTTATATAAAAGAGATAATTGCTGACTTTCGTTGAATAAAACTATCGAAATCTCTACGGCCCTTTATTTGGGTTGCTGTCAGCAGTTAATTTACTGTATTAGCACATTCAATCAGATTTAGTTGCAGTGCATGCATTTCCACCAAATCACAGATGGTATGCGGCAAAATACCCCGTAGGGGAACTTACCAATGGAGTAGATCTCTGAAGAGAGTAGTTCATATGAAGATAATATTTGTATATTTTTTTGAATAGAGCTGGACTAAAAAATGAGAACTAAATGTTAACAAACTGGTCGATTGAATTAAAAGACTCTATTTTTGCATACGGTAAAGATTCGCTGAAAGCAGTTCATGGGGTATGGAAATTAATTTAGCTAGGATTTGACTGAGTCTATTTTACTTACCCAATTTTTACATGAAGGTTTATTAGTTGTTTCACGTAATTTTGAAATCTAGTATTTACAAAATCTGAAGCGGCTGTTTAAACAAGTAACTAACACCTATTTCTGCAGCTTCATTCATATTGGTAATCGTGTTAAAATTTAATTTTGTCACAAATCTGCGCTCGTATTTATTCTTGTTCGTAGTAACGTTCGCTTACAGATAGAAAATAAATTAATTTTAACTCAGGGCTTAATTTCTAAGATTAGAAGGGCCGGAGACCTATGGAAGACCGTCAGCAAAGGACTATTAAACTCATTAATAATTTTAAAATTAAATAGTTAATTATTATCAAATTAATTAATGTTTATAAACTGTTATTTAATCAATAATTATTATGTAATTAATTATAATTTAATTGACAATTATCATATAATTAATTATTATTTATTGAAATAATTAAAATTAAATAAAATGTAAAGAGATAAATTGAAATGTAATAAGCAATTTTTAAAATAATTTTATTGTTAAAGTAAAATTTTCGAGAGAAATTCTTATCCAATTACATAAAAGAAGTGCCGCAGCCTTCTTATTCAGGGCTCTGGTGCGTTCCGGCTAGAATCATGATTTATTACAAAAACTAAGAAGCACAGCACTGGAGCCGAGATCCGGTGGGCCCCGGCCTAATTTAAGCTCTGATCGTAGGGGGGGAGGGAAGTTCTTTTATCATCACTAAAATTAAATATACTTAAAGTATAGCTGATGAAAATTCCAGGGCAAAACAGAATGAGGGTATGAGTGGGTGGAAACAAGAAATGAGGGGAATCTTGGTGAGAAAGAACGTTCTCTTTGACCACGGATCTCTGTTGATATAATTATAGCCATCAATCTATGTGTGTCACGGGTAAAATGAGTTCTGAATCCGACTCCTAAGGATGCATGTAAAGTTGCTGGTTACGCTTCCCCCATTTGTGGATACTGTGGGAAAACGATGTATAGAACGTGCTTAAGCAGTTTATCTCAGTATTTCACTCTTATTGTACTCGCTGTCACTTAACGCACATTTAAGAAAAATTTTCCTTCCTGCGAGGATAACTAACGGTAAGCATCGATAACAATACACTAGATACGATGGCATGGCGAGAAATTTACACATTCTTAAACAAACTCCCCCAAATTTATTACCCTTCTTAAAGGGAAAGGTTTCCGCATGTAAGTGAGGGGACTTTACTTGAACGTCTCATGTGTTCGTATTTCTAGAGAAATAGAGTATTGCAAGGTCTTTTTTTGTTACACTAAAACATTAGGAATTCTAAATTTTTTCTCTTTAAATTGTGGTTCAGTTTTATGAAAAGAAGTAACGGAGCTCATCTTATTCAGGGCTCCCGTGCGCTCCGGTTAGAATTGTAATTTATCTTAAAAATTGAGAAGTACCGGAGCTGAAGTACCGGCCTCAGTTAGGCTCCGGCGCAATTTAAGCACTGTTTTAACCACCATTAAATATCTCTATCTCATGAATGTATTAGTTAAATTATATTTTTGATATAATTCTCCTAATCTAAACGACTGTTGTTAGCTAGATAAACTTCTATTATATAAAAGGTCGTATCGCATTACAAAGGAACACATAATAACTGCTGTTTGTTAATTAATCAATATTGTTTAGGATATATATATAATATATATATATATATATACATACATGCATGCATG